CTTGCTTGTTCTCCCCACAGCGCTCTTGGTTTTCAGAATTCATTGTAATGGCCAGAACTCAGACCAGACGTAACAGTTAAGTGCTATATTAAGGCACAACTCCGGGCCAGGGGCAGAAAGCATTAAGGCAAAATCTGGACGGCCCCCTTGGAGTGGAGGACAGCTTCTCAGTGCAGGACACCGCGCAGCCCTGAGGCTCGGGCTCCTTGTGCCCCCCCACACCCCCCAGGGCATCACCACTGACTTTACTGCTGGGCCCCCTTTCAAGCCTCTTGTCCTCAGTTTTACGACCCTTGAATGCGGTAGAGCTCATCTAGGAGGTTCCTTGCCTCCCTTCTCTGCTTCTCAGCTCTCCTTTTATTTCTATCTACTTCCTGTCTAAAAAACCTCGGTGGGCTTCCCTCTAACCCATGCTCAATCCCTGCTTTCCCTTGAAAACGCTGCGTCTGTCAGGTTCTCAGGGACCCAGGCTTTCTGTATGGGCTGAAATGGACACGGCATCTTGAATGACTGGGAGAGGAGCAACTCAAAAAAGGAGTGTAAGCACGATTGTACAACTCGAAGACTGTGACCAGCATCACTGAATTGTTCATGAAGAAACTGTCAGATTGGTGCAGGTTTTTTGTGTATATTCTCAACAGTAATAACAAAATAAATACAATTTTTATTTTAAAATCTGCAGAAAAATACACACAAAAAACATAAACCTCTGTGGGCTTGGCTGCATATAAACACAACCTTCTCACCAATTTCAAGGTATGACCCTCCCAATGTTGTTGTTGTTGTCAGGTGCCATCGAGTCGGAACCGACTCATAGCGACCCCATGCACAGCAGAACGAAACAATGCTCGATCCTGGGCCAACCTCACCACCGCTGCCACCCCCGAGTCCATCAGTGATGCCACCTGGCCGATCCATCTCGTTGGGGGAGGCTACAAATTTACCAATCCCCTCTCAGTAGGCCGCATACACTTCATTTGCATAATCTACTAACCAATCCCTGGAAGGTGAGCACACATCACAGGGCACACAGTCAGACAATCTAAGTATCAAAAACCAAACTATTTACAGCCAACCCAGGAAATGTAACAGTCCCTCTCAGGCAGAGAGCCTCAGGGCTTAGGGGAGAAATCTCTCAAGCGGTTTTTCCAAAGAACCAGGGCAAAAGGCCACTGAAAGGAACTCTTTCATCACAATGCCTCTGTAAGATAAGCACTGGACTGCAAACCACAAGGTCGGTGATTCGAAGCCATGAGCCATTCCTCACGAGAAAGATGAGGCTTTCTGCTCCCGCAGAGTTACAGCCTGAGTTGGACCTGACTCCACCACTGTACCTAACGATAGCAGCAGTGCTTCTGTGTAACCCAAACCCCTTCTAAGGTCTAGAACACTTCCTCAGGAGACTCCTCATATTCCTTACCTGCTTAGATTCTCTCCTGGAAGCCACACAGCTTGCTCTGTCCTTGGTAAGACTTCTTTACCTGCAACCCAGTGTGCCTGCGGTTGGCCTGGATTGGTGCATCTCTCTATAGTGCGTAGCTTTCTGTTGTTCAGTGTGGAGTCCTATCCCCCTGCATGCGTGTACCACCATCAGTGCGCCCAGTCTGTACCTGATGGACAGCTGGGCTGTTTCCAGTTTTTGTCTATGATGAACATTATTTGCCAGTGGACATGTGTTTTCATTTCTCTTGAGTGAATACTTAGGAGTAGGGTTGCTGGTTCATAGGGAAGGGTATGTTTGGTCTTGCCATGAGCTGTTAGACTTTCTTCCTAAGGTTATACCTGTTTACACGCGCACCGTGCTGTCTGTGAGTGTTCCAGGTGCTCCGTGCCTCACTGGCCTGACATGCCATCTATCTCTTGAACTGTAACCACCCTTGCAGTTGCATTTGATGCGTTTTGACAAATCATACGCTGCTGCCATCATGACACAGAGCATTTCCACCACCCTGGACCCACCCTTGCCCCTTTTGTAGTCGACTCCAGGGCCCTAGGGGCAGCTGACCTCTGATTTAGAACGTCCAATAAATGGACTCCCACAGTATGTTCTCCTTTGTGTCTTCCTCATTTTATTCAACTCTCTTTATCATTTTGAGCTCATCAGAGCTTCACACTAACTGAGTGAGAGCAGTAGCTGAGAGCTCCCCCATACCCTTTATCCCGGTTCCCCCAATGGTGACACCTTGCAAAATGATAGTTCCCTCACTCCAGGGTTGCCATAGCAAAGGACCCCAGACAGGGGGAATTACAAGAGCTGTCATGAGTTCACGCTCTCAGTTCTAAAGACCAGGAGTCGGATTCAGGGTGTCAGCAGGACCAAGATCTTTTCTGGTCACTAAGCTTCTCGGGGCTCCAGGTCTGCTTGGCTTCTGGCCGCAGCAACCCAGTTGTTCCTCCAGCACCACATGGCAGTCTTCCCTCTGTGTCTGCTTCTCTGTCTCTCTGTCCTCTTTTTCTGAGGACACCACTCAGACTGTCCTCCTGCTAACTCCTTTGATGACAACCTCAGAGGCCCTATGTCCAATCACAGGCACATCTTCTTAGGAGGCAAAATCAAGGTGTTTTTAGGGAACAGAATGCCTGCTCTAGACCAGGGTGTACCCCCACCCTCCTACACATTCCTGGTTATGTAGTGGCTCTGTCCTGGACCTGGACCTGGACCTGGACCCGGAGGGGCAGCTCATCCCCCCTGTTGACATCCACGTTCCTGTGATATTGTCTCGGCTCCCAGGCCCTGAAGCACACCTTTCTCTCAACTCCAAAGTCGTCTTTCCTGGAGCCAGAGGGTGCCTGCTTCTGCAGTCTGTTCATATCCAGATTTGCAGTGAACACTTTATGATCTAGCATGATCTCTTTAAAATTCTGCTTCGTTTCATTAAAAGCGATTTTCTACTTTTCGGCTGATAGGTTGAAGTATGCAAAACTTCCAAAATGGTGCCCTGCTTCTGTTATAGCGGGGAAGAGCCGTGGCTTTCTGCCTGAGGACCAGTCCTGTCTGACCGTATGTCCTCAGCACGGAGCAGAACTGAGCTGGCATCGTACATTGGTAGGAAGTAACGCTTCCCCGAGATTCCCACCACCTGTGCAGAAGCCACTGCCAAATAGCTGTGAGCAGTACGTCTGCTGCGCTCTAAGAACCCGATTGAGTGTGGGACCCCACGCTGTCAGTTCTTGGGGATCCGGGACCAGAGGTGTGTGTTCTTATTGCAGCGTGGCACCAGGTGGGCATGTCTGCTATTGACCACGGGGTTTGCAGAGAGAATCCAGTGGAACGGTGGTGTCTACCGGTCAGAAATACCACAGTGACCCTCCTGTTCCTTCCACCCATGTCCCCGTTAGTGTGCCATCGTACGTGCCTCATCCTTTACCCTCCCTACCACACGCGTTTATTTCTGTCTGTTGATCTGGTTTTCCAAACAGTTTGCAAGCAACTAGCAAGTCTTATTCCTCTTTAAAGTTTAAATATTTCCTTACTCAGCGCACGGACTTTCTCTGATGTAATTTCAAAGATCAAATCAGGAGTGACCTCTTAGGCGATGTGGGCCTGTCTCTCCCGTGTACCCTACTTTATCTTCACATCTGTGGGGTCCTCTCCCACCTGGACCGTCTGTGAGGAATGTGCCGATTTGGGTCTGCTGGTGCCCCCTCCTGATCGGGCCTCTGCATGTGGGGTGGGGCCCCATGAGGGTATCCTGTCCTCCCTGGTGCCTGTGTTAGTGACTCACAGGTCAGGTGTCTGTCGCTGGGGGGGGGCTTCAGTGGGTCAGGGGTTTTCCCCTTTGTCATTCGTCCATTCCTGTGGAGATGCGGGGACCTTTGTCTGTCCTGTTCCTTTAATCTCTTGTTCCTGATTGAGTCGGTTTTCATCGTGGTGTTGGCCAGGCCGGATTCCCATCTATGACTTACTCTGTATTTGCTCATTGAAATCCTATTTACTGTCTACCAGCCGCATTGCTGTGCAAACCACACGGCCTTCTAAATCCACCGTTGGCCCACATTTCTTTAATCTTTTGCCTGAGATGGTAGAGCCGGACATGTGGGCTGTAGGAACCCAGAGTGGGCACAGACTGGTGTCCTACAGTGAGTTTGCTTTACTGCCCTGATGGCTAATGATGTGTGGCATTGTAGGGTAAATACTGGACTGTGAACCACAAGGTTGATGGTTCAAACCCACCAGCTGCTCCTTGGAAACCCTGAGGAGTAGACTCGATGGCACCTAACAACATTATCCATTTGTTTATCTTTCTTGGAGAAATGTCCATTTAAGTCATTTGATCTTTTAAAAGTTGAATTATTGATCATATTCTTACAGAGTTATGTTCTTGTTAAGTGCCGTTCCAACTCATAGCGACTCTGTATAGGGTTTCTGAGGAGCAACCAGTAGGTTTGAACTACAGACCTTGTGATTTGCAGCCCAGTGCTGATCCTATAGAGTTGTAAGAGCTCTTCTTCATGCACATCCCTTATCACTTGTATGATTTTCAGATGTTTCCTTCCACTCCGGGGATTGTCTTGGTGGTGCCCTTTGAAGATAAAAGTTTCTGATTTTGATGGTGTCTGATCTCTTCTTTCTTTTGTTGCTTGTGTTTTTGTTGTCATTTGTAAGAACGTACTGCCACATCCAAGATCAGGAAGAGTCACCCCGGTTTTCCTCTAAGAGCATGTGCGTTTAGTTATCACCTATTAGGTCTCTGATTCTTTTTGGAGGATATCACCCTCTGAGAGATGGAAAACCTTCAGGTCCTTCACCAATTCAGTGTTCACAAGCCCCACCCTGGAGCCAGGTCTTGACACTGACTCCTGGAGGTTGGTCCCCCATTATCCTGAGTCATGCTCACACCTGAGGCTGTGGTTGTGATGTGGTCGCTGTTGCAGAGCCCTGTTGGGTCCAGCCAGATGCATCAAAGCAAGCAGACGGCTCTCATTACCCATAATGTTCCCAAATCTGCCACAGTTCTTGATCAACCTGAGGTGACCTGTGTGTTCTCTCTGCCCCTCAGATGCTGACCTGACCTTGACCGAAGCCAGCAGCTCGGACATCCGAGAGGAGAGGACTGAGCTGTTTGCACATGCAGAAGAAAGCCTCCTGGCGGGGGAGGCTAGCTACCTGGGTCCACCCCTGACTCCCGAGAAGGACGAGGCACTGCACCAGGCTGCAACTGTGGCTAACCTGCGGGCAGCGCTCATGAGCAAGAACAGTCTGCTGTCCCTTAAGGCTGACATGCTGGGTGATGACAGCTCCCTGCTTTTTGAATACCTGCCCAAGGGCACACACTCCTTGTCCCGTAAGTTCTAGTTCCGTTCGTACAGTGGCTGTGTGGGTTTTGCTCATAGAAGGGGGCAGACTGGTCCTAAGGCTGTAGGGGGAGGCAGCGTTAGGGATCTTTGTGGTAGCAGAGCCTTCAGCCCTTCCCAGGTCCACCTGGGAGCAGGGCTACATGAAGACCTGGCTGGCTTTCAGGTTACAAGAGGCTGTGATGTGGCTACCTACCCATGGCCTGACTCAATGAGAGCTCTGTGAGGAATGACTGGGCAGTGTTATCTGGACAGCTTTGAGGGTTGGGTCAGGGCGCCCTCTTCTGGCCTCTCTGAGGGCGGGAGCCAGGAGGGATGTCACATAATGAGGAGCAAGTGACAGGCTGGACACAGGGCTGCCCCAGGAGATGCCCAGCCTCAGGGTGGGCTGTCTCCCCTTGTCACAGCTCTGAGTGTGTGGGGACACATGGGATGGATAGCAGTGGGGGCTCTGTCTCTGCTGTCCTGTGAAGCTCTCGTGCTTGGTCAGTGATCAGCATGGTGGAGGGACACTGTTTCCCTGGGACCACTCCTCAAAAAGGTGGGCTGGGTGGGGCTGGTGTAGGGCGGTGGTCCCAATGCCTCAGAACAAGAATTGTATGGCCAGACTCTTCATCTCTCCTATTTTGGACATGTTATCAGGAGGGACAAGTTTCTTGAGAAAGACATCATGCTTGGTATAGTGAAGGGGCAACAGAAAAAGAGGAAGACTCCCAACGAGATGGATTGGCACTGTGCCAGCTTCAATGCCCCCCACCCCAATGGAACATGGATTGTGAGGATGGTGCAGAGCTGGGCGGTGTTTCCGTCTGTTGTGCATGAGCTTTGCTATGAGTCGGAACCGACTCCATGGCACCTAACGACCACAAGAAGAATGGTAGTCTGCGGTGCCTTGGGTGACTTCCATTGTTACTACATGGGTAATTAGAAAACGATGTCTTTGCAACTTTGTTTCCATCCACACCGCCTGCTGTGGGTTTGGGGCTGGCTGGTAATGATGAACAACAGTGGTCGTGGCTAATAAAGATGAAGCAAGGGAAGAAACAGCTTTCCGTTTTCTTTATTTCCACGGCTGGAATAAGCACTGTGGCTGGGCCAGCGGCTGTCCCAAGGCATTTACCACCGATTTGGAGTTGGGTGTGGGCAGGATTTGAAAACCTCTAACCCTCATGATCCAATTCTAACAAATGGGGGTAGCAGCTTCCTTAGTTGTTTGAATTTGAAACAAAGTAGCATTTGTAAAACACAGACCACCACCCAGGCTCAGTGGAGGTGCTCACAGACACTCTCGCCTCCCAGATATACAACTGGACTGGTCCGTGAACATTGCTGAAGTATACGGATCCCAGAAACTGGCAGGCATTTACAGAAACTGACTGGGCATCTGGGATTTATGACTGAGTTGCATGAGGGCCATGAATCTGGTGCACTGATGGGAGGAGCAGATAAGAATGGGGCCAGAGGCTAGTGGCTGAGCTGTGAGGCTGGAATGGGCACCTCAGCCTCCCTCACACCCTCCCACACTCATGGCTTCCTTACTCACCTGCCTGAGGGTTAAGATGCCTTTGTTCTGTTGATTCGAGTTCATTCCAACTCTTGTGATTTAGTGTGTTGCAGAGTAGAACTCTAAGGTTTTCTTGACTGTTACCTTGATGGAAGCAGATTGCGAATTCTTTTTTCCATGGACCAGTAGTTTGGTGATTTGAACTCACCGAGCAGCCCTGCAGAAGAAAGGTCTGACTGCTTTCTAGATGCTCCTAACTGTGTTGTAACCTCCTCAGGAAAGGAAAGACTGCTGTAAAACTGCCCCGGCATGGCGCCTTCGTGGCTGCCTGTCTGTGTGTCATTTAGAATGATTTTGGAGGCAGTGCTCAAGACTGGGCTCTGTCCAGGGTCTCAGGAAACCTGGAGTGCTGGCTGTTCTGGTCAAAGGCAGGGGCCAGGGAAGAGAGGAACTTCCCAACTCCTCTCTACCCCTACCTCCCACCAAACAGACGGGCAGGGCTCAGGTCCCTTGCTCTGGACCCTTCCTGCAGCATCTGGCTGGTCTGGGGGGCCTATAGGACGAGGTTCTGTTTGGTGGGATTTCCTTTTCAGATCTCGCTGCTTTCAGCGTGGGTAACTTCATCGTGTGTACTGAGTGAAGCCTGGAGTCTGGGCATGTGTTCTCTGGGTGGGTCTGGAGCACAGTGTGAACTGGCTCTCTCAGTTCTCCACCCTTCAGGTGTAATGAGAGTGGCCCCTGTTTACTGTGTCTATGACTAGTCCCAACGAAAGCCATCTAGTGGCTCTTGGGATTTATTGGCTTATATTATGATTTAACCTCCTTGTTTTCAGGTTCTAATGTTCTACTTTTCTCCATTTTTCATACGTAGCTTCCAGGAGTTATAAGGTCTTGCTGTACCCTGCCCTGGTGGCTGCCCACTTCTGATCTTTCACTTGTGACTTTCTCGGGTGAAGGGTCGCCAGAGGTTGCGTTGTGCCCAAGACAGTATGCCTGACTGCATTTGTCCTGGTGCTGTTTGGAGGCCCTGGGGGCCTGTTGCCTTCTTGAGACTGTGCCTCTATGTCATGTGACCTGAGGCCCAGCTGAGCCTTGCATTGGTGTGGTTCATGGGGTGCCCACCCTGCAGATGCAGTATGTAGTCTTGGACAGGAGGCTGACCCTTGGCAGTGCTATGCTGAGGGGTACACAGTATTGGGTTCCTTGTCTAGCAACGTGCAATGCTGTGGCCACAGGAATGGGGTCCACTCTGGTCAATTCTGTAAACATAAGTTTCAATGACAACTTTTAAATTCAGAGAACCATCAAGTAGGAAGGCAGTGCAGCAGTCCAACACTGAGGTCCTTTCTGGATGGCTTTGGAACGTTCCAGAAAAACCAAAATAATTTCTTTGTTTTCATAGGATTAATGACACTGCCTTAGCTCCTCAGTTCAGCAGATGGTGGTTTTGTTGCTGGTTAAGAATCGTTAGCTAATGTCTCTGTTTTCATTCATATTAACTTGGTTCTTGATCAAGTTGATTCGTTTTCCATAAGCAGGCTGACACCCTACATGTTCACAGTCATTGCTCATTGGCTGGAAACCAGGGGAAGCATCGTTTTTGCCTCAAATGTTGTGTTTGTGTGCATGAATCTATCTGTGTGGGACCTCACACAGAGGTGTGTGTGTGTGTGTGTGTGTGTGTGTGTGTGTGTGTGAATGTGAATCCATGTGGAACCTGACACAGAATTGTGTATGTGTCTGTGTGTGAATCCATGTGGAACCTGACACAGAATTTTCTGTGTGTGTGAATCCATGTGGGATCTGACACAGAATTGTGTGTGTGTCTGTGTGTGAATCCATGTAGGATCTGACACAGAATGGTGTGTCTGTCTGTATGTGAATCCATGTGGAACCTGACACAGAATTGTGGGTGTGCCTTTGTGTGTGAATCCATGTGTGATCTCACACAGAATTGTGTGTGTGTCTGTGTGTGAATCCATGTGGAACCTGACACAGAATTGCGTATGTGTCTGTGTGTGAATCCATGTGGAACCTGACACAGAATTGTGTGTCTGTGTGTGAATCCATGTGGGATCTGACACAGAATTGTGTGTGAGTGTAAATCCATGTGGAATCTGACACAGAATTGTGTGTATGTGTGTGTAAATCCATGTGGGACCTGACACAGAATTGGCCTCAGGCGTTCATCTCTGGCTCTTGGAAAATGCCTCCAGAGCCAGGGCGATGGTTTGATTTCACATGAGGCCACTGAAAATGAGCCAGCCCACTTTTGGTACAGTGGATGTGCGTGCCATATATAATCACGATGCCATTGTAGCATTCTGGGTTATGAAGAGTGTCTTCCCTGGGTATTGGGATTCATCTGTCTTTAGGGGTCAGTTTTTTAAAAGAATCTGTGGTTTCCCTCATGACCACAGCAGCGTTCTCCTGTTTCATTAGAAATGAAACGCAAGTCCCTCTCCCTTTAAAACAAGGGGAAACCCCAGAATAATCAGGATGGCAGGTGGGAGCTCTGCCATCAGTGTGTGTTTGTGTAATGCTGGCATGTGTACCAGGCAGGCAGCAGGCTGTGGACACACTCCTCCTGGCCCCGAGAGGTGCTAGCTTTGGGGGAGAACTCTGGTTTTCTATGATTATGGTTTAAAGAATATGTCCTTGTAGGGTTAAAAAATGAACAAAGGGGCCTTTAGGCTGTATTCAGGAATTTTAAACTTTTCAGAAGGTCCTTGTCTTCAAGGTTGGAGATATGATGACCTTGGTGTTCTCTCGACATGTTATATGACATTCTGTTCTAGAACCTTCTTTAGTAATTGTACTACGTCTAGGAGAGGGGGCAAATCATGGGCAGAGACCCCTTGCACTTGAGATTTGGATCTAAGTACCCCAGACGCCCGCCGCCAGCAGGATGAGGCCGCATCTCGCCTTGGGAATCAAGGGCAGCGCCCCAGGAACTCTCTGAGCGCAACTGATGTTGGTGCAAACGGGTGAGACTGGATCCTTGTGTCTCTAGGCCTGACTGCAGCTCTCAGAGGGACAGAGATGGCTAGCACACATGCCTCCCTCAGCGCCCCCACTCTCCTTCCTGGGACCCTGTGCATCACTGAGAGACCAGAGCCTCTCCCAAGCAAGCCCCAGTTAGCATGTAGGGGGGCCCAGACCAACGCCCACATGCAATGCTGGTTCAGGCTAGTCTTAAGTGGCATAGTACCTACACAACCCATGAGTGCCCTGTTGTTGGTGTGAAGTGCCGTTGAGTCGGTTAGACCCATAGCGACCCTGTATAGGGTTCCAAGGAGCTGCTGGTGAGCTTGAACCACCGACCGTGCAATTCAGACGGCTTTACAGTCTGGTGCATTAACCCACAGCGCCACACTAGGACACCTATGTTATAGCTGAGTATTTTCAGGATAGCCAGCTGTCCCCCTCCACCACCACCCCACCATGCCACCCCCGCCTGGTCATCTAGCCCATCCCCTTCAGGTT